TACTTTAGTAATGAAACATCTGCTGGAAAACAACTAATGATCACATACTTCCATTTTTTTGAGTTTTTCCTTTGTGTCCTAAAAACTAATGGAAGAATGGTTCTTAGTTAGATGGTAGAAAGACAGCCAGAAATCAATAGATATGATCAGTTGCAGCAGTTGTGTGCTTACGGCAACTAAATCTTCAGACATTTTTCTAGTCTAAATACCAGCAGAATCTATTTTCACAACAAAATGTTATTGTCCATGGAACAAATTTATTCTGGAAGAGAGAAAAATCTGAAAATTATTAGAAAATCTGTCATGTGGAAGATCAGATAGAGCTAATAAGACTTCATTAAAACGCTTCAATCGGTTGTTCTCAGACTGTCTGTTTATACATGTAATGCATTATAGGTTTGAATGATCAACGAAACCCAGGTCAGCTGACATGGAGCAACAGGGAACATGTTATTTTCACAAACTGGAGAAGAGGCCCACCTCGTCTTTCAAAGCAAAGGAGGAACTGCATTTTAGTACAACAGCAAGGAAAATGGCAAAGAAAAGACTGTCGGAAGGGCAAAGCATACAGTTATATATGTTCCACAAAGTTGTGAACAAAATTGATAGTTAGATACCTACTTGGCCTTCTATGTGATAAAACAGTTTTATTTTCAGGCAGTTGGAAGTGTTGATGGAACTTATAAATGAACAGTTGCTTGGCCCATTTGCAAAAATTCCTATGTGAGAAAAGGGTTCAAATGTGATGCAAGATTTTGTTTTCTGCTTGCCATCCTATCTTCTCTTGCTCTCCTGTCCATTGTATCCTGTTTGTGATACAATGGCTATGTGTCAAGAATCAAATGTATTGGTTCTAGAGTTCATTTCTGTCTCTTTCAAGAGATCCTATATATGAAGGTACTAAAAGGCTAACTGGAAAGAGCTTTGAGTTGAGTATAGACATTATATCATGTGCTACTCACCATCTTTCTTGGATAGGACGTTTCATCCACCACAACTGTTATTTAAAAATTTAGGCAATATCCTGCTCTTCACTTGGTCAAATGAGACTGATGGCAGATACATTGAACATACACCAAAAAAGAACATTATGTCACTCCATAATGCCATGCCCATTTTATAATACCTGGATGTAAACTTCCAACAAATGTCAAACATTCCCTTAACAAAATTGCATCATATTATTCTGTGATAAATTTCTATATTTGAGACACATGTAGGAGCCATGGTGGCAGAGTGGTTAGAATGCAGTATTGCAGGCTAACTCGGTCTACAATCAGGAGTTCAATCCTGACTGGCTCAAGGTTGATTCAGCCTTCCATCCTTCCAAGGTGAGTAAAATGAGGAGACAGATTGTTGAGTAAACCACTCAGTGAATGCAGTAAAGCACTGCGGAATGTAAGTCTAAGTGCTATTGCTGAATGTCAAAGGAACTTTCCAATTCTCATGGTAACAAATTCAAATGTGTTCCCTTTAAAATAGACTATGAGTTATGAATATAAATTCTGAAGCATTATAGGATTTCCCTAGCCATCTATGTTAGTTGATTTCCCAACAGAAGCCTATTAACTTTTGCTATCATCCCTGATCAACTCTAAGCTTTGTTTGCATGTAAATTTCTCTGGCCTCTCTTTGATAGTTTCTTTTCCTTTTCTTTCTTAACATTGGAGACATTCTGAATGTCCATTCAACTTTTTGCAACTTTGTGATGTGTCGAGACTCCAGCCAACCTAGTCAGGAATTCTGGATGCTGCAGTCCAACACATTTTTAAGGTGCTAGACTGGGCCAGACAAATTTGAGAAGTTATACACATTTCCCAATCCTCTTGTGTGGATGCTTGCTGGGAAGAATTGTCCTGCAAGTGGGAGGTAGAATTTGAAAACAAAATCCAATTGCACATAAAATATAGATAGGAAGAATATATGTAAAGTTCTTATAGACTGGAATGTGTTGTAGAATGTGCAAAGTACACTTGGTAATCTACCTGAGTTATTATAAAAGCCTGGAATTGAATAAATATTCTGACAAATTCTGAAAGGGGAAAAAGAGATGTACTAACAAATCAATTTTTAAAAAAACTCCCTGCAATTCACTGACATGTCAATAATCTTCTAATACACCCTTGTATGTAACAAGAAACTGCTTGTTGGAAAAATAATGTAATTTTTGGAAGTCCAATTTTACCTTGCATTATTCCATATTGATAAGTAGCTGAAATATTTATAAATATAACAATCCATTATGGGCACATAGTTTTCTCCCCTTTTTTAGTGGCACTAAAAATAGACACCCCACCCCCCGCATTGTGTATTTCGAGGGATAGAATGAATCTAGATAAAATAGTACCTTTACTGCTGTAGGTTTGGTTTTATTTGAACTTAAAAGGTGCCAATCTACTTTTGTACCTTAAATGGCATGTGTTGTGTGCTGTTTTCTACTGTAATATCTAAATTGAATGTATTAATAAAAATAGCATTGAAGATAGCTGAAACAGTATGCGTTTTTTCCAGAAAAAAAAATTGTGTTGATGAAAAGATATTGCATCAACAGCTACACAGTGAAAACCTCAAACTACCCATAGAAAGGAGGGGAAGGCAATTTGCAACACAGGTGGTGTTTGTTCCTATCTCTGCCTGGTCTCCTCCCACACACCAAATGCACACGCACACCCCACATGTGGCTTTTCCAATATAGATTGTCCAGGTGCATGATTGCCATATTCAGTCACCCAAACAATTGCATGGAGTTGTTCTGTTTGCTTAAAAAGAAAGAAAGGGGAAGTTGGAGGAGGGGCACAGGTAGGGGGAATGAAAAGAAAGAAGGCTGAGGACACTTCAAGTCATCACCATTATTTTCCTCTGTAAATCAGTTTCAACATATTTACCACAGAGAACCAACAGGGTTCTCTGCCTTAAGTTTACAACAATGCTTTTACTTCCAGAACCCGGAAAATGCCTCCTTTCTGGGGCAGTGCAAGTCTCTTTTTGTTTTGCTACTTGATTGTTTTGGGCTGCAAGGATGATACTGACTATCAGGAACTTATTTACCTCTTTAATTCTGAAGATAACAGTTTCTTCGGCCATTACATCACCTCTTTGCAATGGGACGGAGTGACAGAGCAGTAAGCCTTATAGGATGTACACCAGATGTTTATTTGCAGGGATGAGAGTAGCAACATTTGTAAAACTCCTCTTCCTTTGTGTCCTGAGTCTCAATGCAGGTCTGTCTCCTTCCTCTCAGGATGGCTATTCAACAAAGAAAACAACAACTATGCAAATAGGTATTATGGTGTTATTTATCTCCCAAAGATGTTTATTCATTTCAGTCTGCATCCAGCAAAGCCTGTTGCAGCAACTTACAACATCCAGACTGAAATCTATAACAAGGACCGAGACAGACTCTTAAACAATGCAACAGCTTTCTTAGGACTCACTGCTTACCAAGATTGTTGTTATCTCTGTTTCCATCCCTGTATGTTGTATGTGTCCATGAGAATAGAGGCAATCTCTTCTTGTACCCAGCTGTTGAAAGAATATATATCATAATAAAATGAAGCTTTTAAGGTGACTCTTTTCCCCTATGTGATATCTCAGATGGAAACATGCATTTCCACTTTTAGAAAAACCAGCTATGCTTTTTACTTGCTATTATAGAACATGATACATGTTTTTTTTTTAAAAAAAGACTTAGGTTGTAGGTCAAGCAATTAGAGAGCTGAATGGCCAATGCTGTTTTCAATGTTTTGAATCAAGAAGAGTTATGAAATGATGAACAATTATGCCATAATGTGGAAAGACATAGGATCCAATCCCTTCTGGTGAGGTTATTGTGATTTCAGTTTGAACAGCAGTAACTTACAGCCAAACAATCTTTGAAAGTTCATATATGAAAACACTATTGAAGTCTATAAACATTCTGAATGCTGTTGGTGCAGCATGAGTAAGATACTTTTATCAGTGCTGTTTTTCGCGTATAAACTGTAATATAAAATCAACTTTCCCATTGTGCCCACCTAGCTGTTAATTGTGGCTTTTTAGAAAAATGGAATACGAATACTCTTCATTTTATTGAACCTTTGTGGCAAACCCATTTCTACAGAAATAGATAAATTTCTACGACTATGATACACATGGAGTACCATAGTAGTAGTACCAAGTAGTAGTACGAAGAGTAGATGTGGGCATTTTCCTTTTACACAGAGTGTAAAATGGTTGATGTAAACCAATGGGCACATTTTTTTTTGAGTCATCCATGATTTACGAACAGTTCATGTACAAACAAGGTTGAGAATAATACCTACTTATCAGAAGGAAGACAATACTTAAAGTCTGCACTCTGGGGACATCCATGCACTAATACTTTCCCCTTGAGGTCTGTACACATTCTGGATGCTGTTGATATAACATGAAAAAGATACTTTTTGCTTATAAACTGTAATGGTGATCTGAAAAGCAGCCCTGCCATACAATTAACAATTGTAAAACTTAAAAAGTCCTAACTTGCTTTTAAAGAGACTTGCAAAAAGTACAGGTTAAACTAGAACATTTCCAAAATCCTAAGGGTTTTAAAAATCCGAGCAGTGAGAAACTGGCTCATTATTTTAATTAGTATTTGCATTTTTCAAAAAGCATGTCCTCTATTAGTCTTTACACTGTGTAATAAAAAAAAACGTAATTGGATCCATTCAACATGGCATATAACTTGACTAGATGTAATCCAGCTGTTATTTTCAAATGATAAACTTTCATCTTACTAAGAAATAAAATTAAACTTTGTTGTAATGTAGACCTACAAACATAGTTTTCCCCATGTTATTGTTTTGAATCCATAATTTGAATCCATGTATCAGGTAAATTAATATGCATCTAAGAACTTTGCCCACTAGCTAGACACAGCTAAACTTCTAATCCAAATATTCAGAGTGATTCCTATTGGAGAAAGCAGATGTAACTAGAAATGCAAACACGAAACACACACCCAGCAGGACAAGCTAACTTTATCTTTGTTAGAGGCTGAGGTTAATGAATGTTAATGGGTATCTCTGATTAGCCTTCTCCTCTTCCCCCCTCCCATGCTCAGCAGCTGGAAATGAGTACTTTAGGCTTCCTTTATAAATGCAACCATCTTCCTACTGCCTTTTTTTTTAAGCAGAAGGGAATTGAAGGAGAAAGACAACCGCCAAGAATAATGCTTTTACTATTGTTTCAGATACTGTTGATTTCATGGCTTGTAAAAGCAGAGCAAAGAGAAGAAATGCAGCAGAAAAATTCCATACGTGATATGCTCACCAAATATTTAGGGGAATTTGAAGGCATTGTGGGGAAACCTGAGAGGCCAGTGGTATCGTTGGCAGAAATGAAAATCAAACAAGACTTGCCACGAGGTCCTCGTTTTTTGTTCCCAGATACAGTTAAGGAAGAAGTGGCTGATGATTTGGGAGGTTGGGCTTCTGCAAACATAACCCCATCCTCTATGTATCCAAAACATCCACCTTCTCACCCACAGAACAAGAGAGATGCAGCAGCAGCCTTCAGAAAAGATGCCAAAAAATTCTGGGACCTTTTCAAATTGAAGACCAAGTCAAGATCTGAAGAGGTGATCCTTCCAATCAAGATATCTGAGATTTACCAGGAGGTTTGCAACAAGCTTCCTTTTTCTCAGGTAAAGTGACTGCCACAAATATAATACTTTCCTATATTTTATTTTAATTAGAAATAGGCCCTAATATACTAAATCGTTCAACCTTGGAAATAGCTCTGGGAGATAACCTATTTCCCCCCCATTTATAGAAGGAGAGCTAAAATAAAGGTGGTAAAAATTTACACAGCTCCTAAGGTGAAAACAGAACATGGATTTTTAAAATCCATATATTTGTGGGTATCTAGTAGCAAGTGGATTTTTACAGCTCAAACCTTGTAGCTAAATTGCAATGAAAATGGTTTGCTGGTGTTCTTAAATCAGTCTGATATCTGAAATAGTAAAAGCATAGAAAACCAGAATATTGACAGCTTTGGGCTGGAAATTTCTGTTACAGTGGAGTTCAGGTTTGTTCTACTGAAATTGCAAAAAGCTGAAAACAGGTGTTTTGACTCACATTCTGCTGGAGAGTATTTTCAGAAAATTCTTGGGCAATAACTTTGAGAAATTTGTAGAACTCTCTGTATATTTCAAAGAGATAGCAAACAGTTTTCCCTCTTAATGGCTAAGACAGTAGTTATGGTTTAGTATCTAAAACAATCCTCACCCTTTTATTACTGGCTTTATCCCTAAAGGTTGCAGGAACACGTTTGTTTTTTTATATTACTGGCAATTTTTATTCTACCATAGTACTATGGCAAGTATTTTAACAATGTGTTTCCTTTCAGAGCATTACACATGAAAATTGTGACAAAGTGGTGATACAAAACAACCTGTGCTTTGGGAAATGTAGTTCTTTCCACGTTCCTGGTGTTGATGATAGCATTTATAGCTTCTGCTCCCTCTGCTTGCCTACCAAATTCTCCATGAAGCATCTGAAGATGAACTGTACCATGGTTAATCCAGTAAATAAGATGGTTATGATCGTTGAAGAATGCAAGTGTGAAGTTCAGAATATGGAAGAAATGGGACCAGGGTTTCTACACACAGCTCTGCATTCGAATGAGCCTTAGCACAAATGAACCTGTTGAAATGACTTGATTTTTCAAATGAATCTGTAGTTGCTAAGGGCCAAGAATACTTGATAAATCTTTTTTTATAATAGTTTGCATCTGCCTTGGTAGCTCTGGTTAGCTTATATGAAACAGTACACTCCAAACATAATTGAAGCTTGATACATTCATTAGCAACAATAATTTTAATTGTCTTCATACATCTTTTTAGGGGTATATTTGAGTATGTTTTATGTACATTTTTAGAATAAAAGTATGATTCTGATAAATGTGGAAACAAGACACTAATAGTAAACCTATTGGAGTGAACATTTAGTAGCAAAGCAAAGCAAAGCTTTTTCCTTCTGCACCATACCAGTAGTATTCAATGCATAATGTGAGTATTTATCATCCACAATAAAACTGGAATACTGTCTATATACTTTGAATAAAAATGTTTTTTTTTATTTATGGACTGAAATTAATGATCTCTTTCACAGTATGTAAAATAACTTTAGCTTCAAGGCTTTTTAACGCTTATTTTTCAAATTCACGTTTTTACTAAATCATATGCATTTTTCAATTTTGAAGCTTTTTGGATATATTGTGGCCTCCATTTGGCTACAATAGGGACCCCACAAGCAATATAGAATGTCCTACAAGCTTAAGCTGCCTTTACCTCTCCATCTTTCTGTATGCATATTTGAATTTCAAAGGAGCAAAAATATTTTTTTTAAAGATCCCTGAATTGGAATTGAAGGAAAATCAGACTACCAGTTCTGGGCTGCAAACCATATTTTGTAGCCCAGCATTGATGGCACCAAATGTGACATCAAATTGATTAAAGATCTGAACACCTCATTTTAAAAAATGCAATGGCAATATTCTAATATGTGGTATTATAACCAAAAGAAAGTGTGATACAATTATGTTTATATGCTGCCCAACTCTCAATAGCAAATCTATTGGAACTAAATTGTAACTTCCATCAATTCCTTTCTAATGTGTACAATTATAATTTAATTTCCCCCTCCCATATATTTCACAGGTAGGTATATCTATACCACTATTTAGTTCAGTAGAACTTTAGGCACAAAACTGTACAGTATTATCTACATGTATACATTAATCCCAATCTGCTGATACCTCTTAATGAGTACCATAAAATTGCTACAATATTCAAACTTCAACAGTTAAAAGAGGTATATCAAATAAGAAAATGTAAACCTATTTTAGCATGGATTTTAGCAAGCACCATTACATGCTGAAGAATATCAAATTATTTCTCAAGTATTGAGTTCTCTGAGTACTGACCCACAATTTCTAACCTCTTTCTGCCATCCACCTCAAAGGGGAATTCTTTTAGAGGAAGAATTTGCTGGATTAGGACAGAAGTGTGAATATGCACCATTTAGAAAGCAAGTGTAAAGAGAAAACAGCAGCTGTAGTAATTGTTAATTAGATTAATGCCTTAGCTGGGGGGGGTGAGTGTTTAATTAACCCAGCAATGATCAGCTGCATGTAATTAACACTGTATTCTGTTATATCAAGGATGTGTTAATTGGATCTGATTTTAAGAGTCAACTCCCATATTCAGAGTAAGTTGAGCCCAGGTGCTAACAGAATATTGCTTCCAAAAAAAAAAAAGGACAGGAAAGGAAAGGAGAAAAATTACTTCCCAGGGAGAGGTCAAGGGCTTCAGTACAATCACATTTGACTGTACATAGAACATGGGATGTTCTGAAAAGTAGCTGGTGTATTTTGAGTTTTTAAAATTCAATTTAAATATTCTGGGTTTTCAAATGTATTTCCAGCGGGAGGAGAAGTAATTAACAGTTTCCAGTTATTGCTATACTTATCTTACTTAAATATAAGTAATTGTCAGTCTCCAGAGTACATTTTTCCCTTTTAAAAATCAAGGTTAATTAACATAAATGGCATAAATGGTTCTGGATCACAAATGTCCCAGTAATGCCTCTAATAATTAACAAAGTATTGCATATTTATTGTTAGCGCAGATTTTTGGGAGGGAGGGAATGCAAAAACTTGAAAAATACTGTGAGCAATATTTAAACCTGTATCTAAAATGTTAATAAATGCGAAAACATGTTCTTGTAAGAAAATAAGAATGAGCTACCGATGGTTACAGAATACTCCATAATATGATGGTAGGAAGATCAGTTTCTAGCATCCAGGACAATTATGTAGGCTGTTTGTGTAATGCCAAAAATTAAAATATTTGCCTAATATTTAAAGTCCACATGGAATTGGGTTGATTGGTGAGGATATGTGAACATGCTTTTTTTTGTCAAGCTATTCGTTTTATGCTTTAGTCCCTTTGAATAGTTGTAAGTTATTCATATATAGGTGTACTCAGGAATAACCCTTACTAGCTCAACAGTGTTTTCTCAAAGTTGGCAATTGGATTACAGCTTGACCAGAGTCCTATGGACACCTTCTAAGTATTTCACCTTTAAGTAAACAGGACTCATTTCTGAATAGACATGTACAGAAATACAACTGCAATATAACACACAGTTTAGTGTAGGAGTTAAGGCAGGGGTGGGATTCAAATTTTTCAACAACCGGTTCTGTGGGTGTGGCTTAGTTGGTGGGCATGGCTTGGTGGTCATGTGCCTGGGTGAACGTGGCTTGGTGGTCATGTTATTAGCTGGGTGTGGCCAACTCAATATCACTCACATCGAGGCACGCATCTCCTCGCCTGGCCTCTCATGACTGTGGGGATGCTGCAACAGTTGTAAGTGTGAAAATGGTCATAAGTCACTTTTTTTCAGGGCCATTGTAATTTTGAATGGTCACTCCACAAAAACAAAGTACCAGCAAAGGAGGGGGAAAAAAAACTCCAGAGAAGTTCCTGAGACAGGAAGTCTAGTCCTGTCAAGAATGTAATAAGGATTAAGGGAGAGGCAGTTTCTGTAAGCAACACCAGAATGTTTCCTTCCTGCCTTCCTTACAGGATTAGGCCAGTAATTTCTTCTAACAACCCGGTTCTCTGAACTGCTTAGAATGTTAACAACCGGTTCTAGCTAATAGGTGCGAACTGGTAGAATCCCACTGTTAAGGTGCTGGACAAGAAACCAGAAATTGTGAGTTGCAGTCCTCATTTAGGTGTGAAAACCAGCTGGATGACTTTGGCTTGGTTATTTTCTCACAACTCAGCCTCAAAGAGTTGTTGTGGGAAAAATAGGAGAGGTGAGTATTATGTTCACTGTCTGTTGCACAAATCACAGGTAGAAGTAAAATTAGGATGCTAAAATACTTGCTGTCAAACTTCCTGTATAAAAAGCTAGCTAATTCAGAGTTAGTAGTTTTTATTGAATGAATGAGTGAATGAGTGAATACATAGATACATTATCCTTTGTGAAGATTACTATGTCTCATATATCTTGTTATCTAATAACCCAGTCTCAGGCTCTCTCTAAACTGGTAAACCTGTATGAAGTCTGTATTGCTAGAGTTTGTGAGACCATGTAGCACAATGCTTCCCCCCCCCACCCCATTAAAATGGTCCTGAAAGCAATGAAAACCAGCAGGAAGAAATTTAAGATGGAACTGTTTTCCCTTATGTGTGTATTTGTTTTAGCTACAGTATATGGAATATTCCTTTTGTATCAATGAGCCTTCCTTCCATACAAATTGCAATGGTATAATTAAGTCGCCACATTTCTATTCTGAGTACAAACTAGGTCTTTCAAGCAGACATAGTTAAACCCTACTGTTGTGGTGCTGTTCAAAGGCAGTTTATTCTAAATTCAGAGGAACAGAATGAAAGGTGAAGCAAGGCCAGTGTGTGTTATTTTAAAGGATGAGGCTGTAGATCTGTGCCTTTTCTATTCATTTAACATTAAAAATGAGGTTTATTTCTCATCTTTGGAGTAGAAAGCTCATATATGTAGCCAAGATGATCCTCTTAAAGCATTTGTGACGGATGCGAAGGAAAGATGCAGCGTCTGGTTCAAGGTGATGCTTTACAGGGTGACCCTGCCAAAATTTCTCAGGAGGAACCAGGCTTGTAGACAACACCGTGTATCCTCTTCTCTGGTTGGCTGCCTCCACAAGAGAGCATCAGCTGTTCAGGCACATGGCATGCTTTCAGCCTGCTGATTTAATATTTACAGAGTGCCAATAAATTTTTTATGATGACAGCTGGTGATTCCTGTAGTAATTTATAAACAACAACATAACACAGACATCAGGGAGCCCCAAGAAAGATTCTGCATGGCTGTGCAATATTTAAGAACCTCAGATACAAGGAAATTTTTCTCTCTCCAACAAATAGGAGACGTGTATGTAGTTATTTGCTGGTAAGATTTTGAGGAAACAGTACAGAACCATTGCTGAAAGACAGCCCTTTAGGTACAATTCAAATTAAGGTTATAGAAACACATCCCAGTTATTCATATTCTCACATTTTCAGGACAATGTTCCAGATGGCTTGCAAATTGTATAAACAACTATAAATAAAATAGCCAAAATAATGAAAATAAAAGATTTTTCTAGGATTCATCCCAAAACAGCAGGTAGATGATGAACATGGCAAGTTTGAGGATAGTTTGCAAGTACTTGGTAGAATTTGTATAGCTGATAATATCTTGAAAAATCAGCAGTACAACTAGAAAGCCAATCAAATTGTCCAGCAAACATTAAAGCTGCAAGTTCTTTCTAATACATTTCAAGCCATTTTATGATGAACTTTTTTGTTATTTTTAATTTAGTCCCCTGAGGAAGTCTTTTTTTTATAAAAGCATGCACCTCTTTAATTACAGGCCACCCTCAATTTACAACCACAATGGACTCTGCCATTGCAGTTGTAAACCATGACAATCATGAAGCAAGCCATCACCCAAACATACTCAATTTTACGACACATTTTGCTGTATGAACATGGCAGTCATTAAACAAATGCAGCAATCATTAAGCAAACCCACTGTTTTCTATGGGGTGTTTTTTTTCCTGTAAACTAGAAGTAAATGCAGGTTTCTAGCAAAACTGTTGTAAATTGTGGTCATGTGACCACAGGGAGCTGCAAATGGCTGTAAATGCGTGATTGTGAACTGCTCAAAATATGATCACATGACTGCATGAGGCGGGCTCAGATATAACTTGAGAACCAGATTGTAACTTCCTTTGGGGGGGGGGGGGAGTGTGTGTCATAATTTCAAACAATTGCTAAGCAACCAGTCATCAGTCAAGAACTATCTGCATAGGAGAAAGCTAGGAATAAAACAACAGATTAGTTGGAAAGGACAGGTCAACACTAATAATCCTTGACATCTTGGAGGCTATTTAATTTGAATTAAAAATAGCCCCCAACCTTTAACAATTTTATTACAGGTAATCCTCGACTTATAATCATTT